ACTGCTAAAAAGAATAAAACCGATCATAGAAAGACAGGAAATCATTCCAACTCATCACTTTGGATTCCGCGACAAGCACTCTACGATCGACCAAGTACACAGAATAACGAATTTAACAGAAAAATCGCTGGAAGAGGGAAAAGTCTGTTCCGCAGTTTTCCTCGATGTAGCGCAAGCATTTGACAAAGTTTGGCATGAAGGCTTAAACTATAAACTAAAGCTGTTTCTGCCAAAACAATATTCTGATATTTTGGAATCATATATGTGTGATAGACATTTCAGAGTCAAACAGGAAGATTTTGAGTCAAATTTACGAAAAATAAAAGCAGGTGTACCTCAGGGTAGCGTGCTAGGTCCCTACTTATATTTATTATTTACATGCGACATCCCAAAACCAGAACATTGTCATTTAGCAACATTCGCCGACGATACTGGTTTAATTACAGTGGAAAAAAGTATTGAACAATCAACAGAAAAACTGCAGAACGCTGTCAGTGAAGTTCAAAATTGGACCAAAAAATGGCGAATAAAATTGAATGAAACCAAATCAATTCACGTTGATTTTACAAACAAAAGCGTAAATCACATACAAATCACAATTAATGACATCCCTATACCATATTCAAATCAAGCTAAATATCTTGGTATGACTCTTGATGCGAAATTGCGCTGGAAAGCACATGTTAAGAAAAAAAGGCAAGAGCTTGAATTTAAGTATAGAAAAATGTACTGGTTAATTGGAAGGACGTCCAATTTAACCATACATAACAAGTTACTACTTTATAGGCAAATACTGAAACCAGTATGGGCATATGGAATTCAACTTTGGCGTTGCACTAAAGATAGTAACATACAAGTTATTCAAAGATTCCAAAATAAAGTACTAAGAAACATTGTTAATGCACCTTGGTACGTTCGAAATAGTGATCTACATCGGGAACTAGGAATTGATACTGTAACAGAGACTATAAGAAAGTACGCAAAAAGCCATGAAGATAGACTACATCGGCATGTGAATGTGGAAGTGATTGAGCTCCTAGACAACACTGATCTAGTTAGAAGACTGGGAAGGGTGAAGCCGTTCGAGCTAGTGAACTGAAATTGAAAAACACAACAAAATAGTGCTATAAACACATCAAAATTGTGATTTTCAGTTTAAGCAAAGTGGGGAAAACTGTTGAGTGAACCTCAAGAATTGTAAACTTTATAGTAAATTAGGTCAAAACAAAATTGCTAATTAGTCTTTTTGACTAGATTGTAATGTAATAAAAACAATGTGTTTGACAAATAAAAAAAAAAAAATATGCTGTAAACAACACAAATAAAGGCCAGGACACATCTATCATGCATTCTTCCGATCCGACTCCGATCATACAATCAAGGTCCTTATTCTTGGAACAAGGGAGCAGTGGAACACCCGTTCTCCTGGGAACGCTGATAAATGTGTCCCGGGCTTAAAGAGTAAATTAAAAACTAGAAAAATTATGTACTGTCTCTTTGTGCTAAGATTTCGATTTTTGGATTTAGAGCGTGTATTAGGGCTTTGTTGAATTTACTAACATTTTCCTACCCTGACGAGAGAATATCCTAACAAATTGAAATAATCAATCTATAGAGATATTGGCTCAAAAACAACTATAGCTGAGTAGCTTCCCGTATGGGACCTCAGTACCTGCTGGGAAACTGGCTAACTAACAAAAAAACTCTTCAGTATTGAATATAGGTAGTGTTGATTGAATGTAGTGTGTGTAATTGAAATATAAGCACAAGAACAGGGGCGGTACCTAGTTTCAACTTTTATTGAGTTAATGACTCACAATTATTATAATTAAAAATGACACAGTATGTTTCGATTTTTGAGGAATGTTAGATCGAGGGTTTCTCTGCCGTGCTCTTCCCCCTCGTTAGTTCCAGCATGAGAACGCTACGATTTACTTCAATAATGAAGTAGACGTTTCACAAATTTTTCGTTTCTTTTACATATCACAACTTCCCTTAAATTTCCCAAATATTTGCTATGTCGGGCGCATGTTCAGTAAGTAAAATTGAGTAAGTTTCCACAACGTAGGTCCTATTTGTTTTTCATTTCCTTTTTTTTTTAGGAGATTTGTTGTTTAAAAAGTAATAAAAATTCACACCGTTCAATCTTACTGAACGAACCCGGCAGGCTTATTCTCTTAAGGCCGTTTTACAGCTTGCAAGAAAACTTGAATGCAATTTTTTTCATGCAAAGAAATTGCATTCAAGATTCCTTGCACGTCGATTTACACCTTGCAATTTAACTTATTTCTTTCTTTAACCTTAACCATACTTTTTTGTTTTTAATGTTGTGTTGTTGATGTTTGCATTTTCCAAAAATAAAAAAAGAGATTATAAGGCGATATAAAAAGAAGAAAGTAATAGCAGCATCAAAAGCATCAAAATTGCTGAAAAGTCCCCAGCTTGCATGAAAATCTTCAAGAAAAATGGCACCAAATCGATTGCATGCAATGCCATTCAACTTTCAAGAATGTTGCAGAAACCAATCAGCTGACACACTTCTGCGCATGCCCTCGTTCAAGTTTCTTGCATATTGCAGATAGAATTGCAAGCTGTAAAACTGCCTTAACGAACAGCAATTACATAGCAACTAGCAACCGGTCGCCAGTTGCTTTTTTTGAATAGAAAACATATAGAAAACACACGTATGACAACGATTTGACAGCGACGATTGCGCAATTCTATGCGGTCGCAAGTTACAGAATAAGGCTGCCGGTATGTTATACTACAAGATCATTCTCTTTTATCGCAAATTTTAAAATAATTAGGTAGAGACTATAGAAATACTGATAAATTAACTATGGCAATTTCCAAATATGACTCAAAGTAGTTTTAAAAATTGTTTCAAGTGAGTACCTACATAAAGATTTTGCTGTAAAGCCAGCCACACGGTCCATGTGAACTTGGATGACAACCTGGACAAAGTAAGTTGGCAGCCAGCCTACTATTACTTGGATGTTAGGACCCATCCAACTGGACTTGGATAAGCAGTTGATACGATGCAAATATCGTTTTAAAAGTGGAGCGCGCAGCGTCTAAGGATACTTGATCCAAGTACATACACTTGGATCGTGTCAACCTAACTTCATTAAACTTAAATTTACGTTTTTTTGTTGAAGTTTGAATACGCAATACATTTTTTTACACATAGGCACACATTGATACTTTGTGTTTTCTTCAAGAAAGTTGCCGACAGTAATGAAACACTTTCCACCTCGGTATGTAATATACTATTTCCATTTTGAGTACCTGCAAATCATTACACAAAATTCATGCAGTGGTTAAGAAGGATAAAGATTTACCAGGAATAAGTAGAGTCAAGCTTTGGAAAATATCGAAAGAATTGAATTTTGTATGGGCTAAGGATACCCGAAAGTCACTTTTAATAGAAAAAGAAGGAATAATTTGCTGGAGGAGGAAATATTAAAGGAAAATTAAACAATTTCGAAATGAAAAAAGAAATATCTATTATTTAGATAAAAACCTGGATAAACGCTTGACATACAGTAAAAAAAATGTGGCAGGATAAAAACATCACAAGTTCTCGGAAAGCTTTTTCAGAAGGTTTATCTACAGGAATAAAACCTCCATCTGGAAAGGGAAGTTGATTGATTATCACCCATATTGGCATGAACAAGGATTTGTCAAAGGCGGCTTGTTGATGTTTCAATCTAAGCACACTGGAGACTACCACGAAGACATGAACGCCGATGTGTTTGAGGGAGGTTTGAGGTATATTTCGAGCAGATGTTAGATTTGATTCCGTCAGGATCCGTTATAGTGCTTGATAATGCTTCTTATCATTCACGAAAAGCTGTTCAAGTATACCAACGACTGCATGGCGAAAAGAAGACATTAAAAAGTGGCTTTCTGAAAGAGGAATATCACTTCTAAATGATATGGTAAAAAAAGAACTCTGGGCCCTAGTAAACACAAAAAAATACAGGAATATAGTAAATGTGAGATTGATGATATGGCGGAAAAGCGACAGATTATTGTACTTCGGACTTCTCCATATCACTGCGAATTGAATCCGATTGAGTTAGTGTGAGCTCAGATTAAATATTTAGCAGCCACTCAAAAACCACATATAAAATAAATAATGTGGAGAAGATTTTTCAAAAAGCAATTCAACATGTAGATTCCGAAAGATGGCATAAATGTGTAGAGCATGTGAAAGAAGAAGAAAAAAGATGTGCGGCAGCTAGACCACATGTTGGAAAAAGAAATACAGCCCATTATTATATCAGTTAGGTTAGAAGATAGTTCTACTGATTACTCAGATGACAAAAGCTGATTAACAACTGGTATTATTTTTATTGTCAATTTTACCTTTTTACATAAAAATAAAAATATAATACATAAATTTTGGTTTTGTTTATTGATATCTCGATCAATCTATTAAAATAAATGTTTGAAAAGTCTATACATCTTTTTTTTTTAAAAATAAAACACCTTCTAGTCCTCTGCTATACGACACCAATGGTGGTATGTAGTACCTATCTAATATACCGAGATCCATTCATCTTGAATAAAATCACAAATATGCAAATGAGCCTTAGACCCTTTTTGTACCCTAACACGGGTGGGTCAAGTTTAATCTTAGTGATTTGCTAAAATCTTGATATATTCTTAGGAAAAATGAGAAATTTAGCTTGTCCACAGGTTAACACTTGGTCCCAGTTTTGCATAAATTTACATATACTTAATGGTCTCGGTCAAACAAATAGACTAGCCCGGATTGGATATTTTGCACTTGAATTGTTTTTACTATACACTCCAGGCGTCCTCTGGAAACTGCCAAAATACTTTAAGGACCAGTCAAAGCTAACAAACGCTGAGCATAGCTATTAGCAAGGCCATGATTATGGGCGATGTTCTATTCTGATACGCTTAATATTTTGTTTATATAAATATTACCTAATTGATTTACATATTAATATTTTTCTTTTTTTTTCCAGATAGGTGATCGATTATTTGTTGGAGCTCCAGGAAGCTATTACTGGCAAGGTAAGAACGACTTTCTTGTCAAGAAACTACTTATGATTTTTATTCCTTTATTATAATAACGTTTTTTGCACTCTAGTGACACTCCATTACGAGAAAGCTGGATTATTTTTATTTTATTTTTCCATTTAGCTTGCCCTAGATTTATCTCCAGAAGCTTTTTTAGCCTAGTCCAAATGTAGCGGCACCAACTAGTAAAGTACAAAAAATGAAAATGTGGTTTTAATTTTGTGTTTCAGGGCAAATGTACTCGATTGATGCCCAAGCAAGGTTTAACTATACCCCCGGCCTGCTAGGCACGACGTATGGCGCCAAAGGTATTTCTTAGCTACCATTGGACATTTTTTTTATCTATTTTCGCCGCCATCTTTACCACATTAATAATATCAAAACGAATAATAATCATAATTATTCATTAGTATGGGTCTTTCGTAAAGATCTGTTGCTATTTTATGACTAACCAATTATAACACCTCCATAGATCATAATCATTCATAGTTGGTACACACATAAATAACAATTTAAAAAAAAATAATATAGATTTGCTACAATTCCAAAGAAACTCATTCAAAGACAAACTTTTATTTTTGCTCTCTGAGAATCTGCGAAAATCACTGTATATATTCGAACGATTTTCCTTCAGCAAGAAAGGCATAACGCCGCCATGCTTCAAAACACGAACATTCTGAAAGAAAACTAGAGAGAAAGTATTCAACAGAGTAACTAAGTATACTAAGGGCCAGTTTATTCACCTTCTGATAAACTGTCAGGTATGCAATCTGTAATCCCATTGATTGGTCGGTCATCAGTTATGGTCCACCAATAGAATTATATAGAGTGGTCCAAAAAAAAATGGCATTTTGTTTTTGAGCTGTAACTTTTTTTGTGATAACGAAAGGTATCTTTTGACTGTAATATGACTTGCTTAATCTGAGAAAAATATCAAAGGTTTTAAAAAATAGTGACGTGCCATTTTTTTTTCTACTTTTACCAAAAAAACCCTGTAAATTTGTGTATTTTCTGACCACCCTGTACATGATATTTCAAGTTTCAATAGTTTAATACTATTTTTTCAAGAATCAGAAACTTTTATAACTAATAACTTTTTTTCGTAAAATTGTAATAAAAAAGTTTCCCATATGCTGTGAACGTGAACACACTGTATATTCTTAAAAGTTCATCATTTTGCGAACATTTTAAAACCTCGACAGGTTAAATCACTTGAAAACTAACAAACTAAGTTAAATATTGAAATTTTTGTAACATCAAATATCAACTTATTTTTCATATCCAAAACTAGGTAAATTTTGAAGAAGTTCGCCATTTCGAATTTTTCTCAAATTTCAAAAGTTTTACTTCGATCCGTGAGCCTATTCTCTTTCAAACAAGCCAAAACAAAAGGAAATTGGTCAATAAAAAAAATTACAGCTCATAAACAAAATTCCGTTTTTTTTTTGGATCACCCTATAGAATGGTAAATTTATTTTGCACAGAATATAAAGGTACCCATATATTCTGTGGTTTGGGTTAGTTTCAAAACTAGTAGAGTGGGTAATTTATTAGAAATCGTAGGTTATGATGTCTCACTTTACATTTTAAATATCAAAATTTTAAAAAATCTAATATTGGGTAATAGTTATTTATACACCAAGTGAGTTAAATGAATGTTTATTCATGAGAAGAAAGTTTAACCCACGAGCCCTAGCGAGTGGGTTAATTTTCTTCGAATGAATAAACATTTTAACTCACGTGATGTATACAAAATTTTATCCCATTTTGATGGACATTTCAAAAATTAAGTACTCAATAAGAATCAAATTATAAAAAAAATTCATTCAGCGAGCGCTAATGTCTAATACCTACTGAAACTGGTAGTTGCTAGGGTATAGCTAGTTGTTTGTTTGTATTTGTAGCAGCCACAACATCAGAGGAAAAAGCCAATATGCTGGCCCAAATGTTTTCCTCCAACTCTAACCTAACAGTGCCAAACGGAAAAACTCCACCGTTCATTGAAAGGGTTTTCCATAGTATGCCAGAGGTACCCTTTTGTCACAGAGAAATACGAAAATCCCTTAAAAAGCTAGATACAAACAAAGTAATGGGTCCGGATGGCATTCCCGCAATAGTACTCAAAAATTGCGCCAACGAACTCACCCCAACTTTCGCAAAATTATTCAATTTGTCTTACAGGCAAGGAGTATATCCATCATCATGGAAGTCTGCCGCAGTACAACCCATTCCAAAGAAAGGAAAAAAGACAGATCCGTTAAACTATAGACCAATTGCTCTACTTCCGGTGATATCAAAAGTAATGGAAAAAGTTGTGAACAATCACCTAACCAAGTACTTGGAAAAGTACAAAATTATCAACGATAAGCAATACGGATTTCGAAAATATAGGTCAACTGGCGATTTAATTACATACGTCACTCACTTATGGCAAAAAGCGATTGAGTTGCGGGGTGAAACAAGAACAATTGCCTTAGATATATCTAAAGCATTCGACAAAGTTTGGCATGAAAATCTGCTCAACAAGCTCAAAGCAATGGGATTATCGCCGAAACTTTGCACTTGGTTTGAAAGTTACCTAAAGGACAGATCCATTTATGTTGCACTGGATGGCCAGAACTCCAACTCTTACCAAATAAATGCTGGTGTGCCACAGGGAGCAATCCTTTCGCCAACTCTTTTTCTGATTTACATAAATGACCTCATATATAAAACAGTAAATCCACTTTATTGCTTTGCAGACGATGGCAATGTAGTCTCCTCGCTCATACCACCCACAGGTCTTTCCGCACGTAAATTCCATCATCTTAGACTAACTCAAATATCGCAGATAAATAACGACCTGGAGATAATAGAGGACTGGGGTAACAAAAACCTTGTACAGTTCAACGCGCAGAAAACCCAAGCAGCTCTGTTTTCAAAAAAGACCAGCACCGGTGAGCCAAACATCATGCTATCTGGAAGTGCTGTCACATTACAGAGTCAGTTGAACATCTTGGGGGTTACTGCAGAGACCAACATGTCTTGGCACAGTCACGTGGCAGATATTGCTAAAAGGGCGTCCCAAAAGCTGGGGGTGCTATTTCGTACAAGACATCTGTACACACCAAGCCAATTGCTGACACTCTACAAAGCCCAGATTCGACCAACTATGGAGTACTGCTCACATATATGGAGTGCAGCACCCAAACATACCTTAATGCTTTTGAACACCGTGCAAAAACGAGCTATCAAGGTGATCAATGACCCCGCACTTACTCGTAACTTGGATGGTCTCGAACATCGCAGATCTGTGGGCGATTTATCTCTCTTCTACAGGTACTATCACGGAAAATGCTCTGAAGAGTTGGCACGTATGATTCCACCGAGAGTAGCGCCTACCAGGCGAACCCGTCAAACAGACGGTAACCATGAATTTACTGTCAAACTAGAGGCACCAAGAACCTCATTATATCAGAATTCATATCTCTGGAGAACAGCATCGCTGTGGAATGAACTCCCTGCGACGGTTTTCCCTGCAGGTTACAACCTGAACCATTTCAAGACCAACATACACCGACATTTCCGCGCACTTGCCGCTTCTCGAGCGTGATAGCACATTTCCTTGCGAGTGCGCATATCCGTAAAAAAAAAAAAAAAAGATTTTTGTACTGGCAGAGTGACTTAAAAGACCGAGAGTGAGTTAAAAATATTTTAAGTCACTCAGGTGATAAACGTCTACTTACCTCTGTTATTATGCGTTCAATAATGACATTTTTAAACGTCAAAATGGGATAAAATTATTTTATACACTAAGTGAGTTAAATGAATGTTTATTCATGAGAAGAAAGTTTAACCCACGAGCCCTAGCGAGTGGGTTAATTTTCTTCGAATGAATAAACATTTTAACTCACGTGATGTATACAAAATTTTATCCCATTTTGTGCAAATTTTGAAAATAAATTACAAGGAAAAATTCAGAGAGTGAGTTAAAAATATTTTAAATCACTGAAGTGGCAGATTTTCAGTTGGGCAGAGTGACTTAAAATGCTCAGAGTGAGTTAAAACGTTTTTAAATCACTGAGGTGATAAATGTCTACTTACCTTTATTGTTATGCGTTCAATAATGTCATTTTTAAACATCAAAATGGGATAAATAGAACTTAGTAAGCTTTAGGTATACAGGGTATACTATTTAAAACGAAACAGGCTAAATACATATCTGATGTCACTTTTATTTTTTTTTTCAAATTCGCTCGTACACGTTATTCGATTGTGTGAGTGTTTGGAACATTTTCAGCACTAACTTAACACTCTAGGGGGGGGGTGGGGGTGGGACCCCTTACCATCCTAAATGAAACAAGGGGTCGAGTGATACCTGTTTCAAAAGAGCCTCCAGTTTTCTTTCAAATGACATCAAATTAAAAGAGAATTGAACGCTCTTTTAAAAGAGGTATTACTCGACCGCTTGTTCTATTTGAAATAGTAAGACTTAATCCTACCCCGCCCAGAGGGTTAAAATTGAAGAACTAAAAATGGTTGCAGAAAACTTCCCCCTTTAAAATAACAAATTAGGTGTACGAGCAATTTTTAAAAAAATAAACGTGGCATCAGATATTGAGCCTGTTTCGTTTTAAATGGTTAGTGTTTCTGATAAATCAATGCTATTCCACCTCCAAGTGAATATTTGATAGCCATGCCACAATTGTAATCACATCGGATAGAGTAAGAGAACCGTGAACCCCCAGAAAAATGTAATATGTTCCTATGTACCTACATTTTAGGGCTACGTACGTCGTACGTCAGCAGTAGTCTTGGTCTTGTTCTCGAAGCGTGTCTCAACAAACTAAACCAATATTCGAAAAGTTCCCTCCATAAGAATGTTTACGTTTAGTTAAAACTCATATTAAGAAGTATTAAATAGTTGATTTGTATCTGCTTATACAAATTTAGGGGAAAGTACCCGATTCCACAGCATACAAATTGTTCCTACTCCCATTTTGCGAAAATAAAGGAATTCTTGCTACGCCTATGTAGGCATGCTAATGAGAATGAGCCTCATCAATAAGAAATCCGTAAAACCAATTGCCCTCAGACTCAGAAAAAGAAATTGAAAATGCCTTGTCTGGCAATTAGCAAAGTGGATTTTTTGCCGCGCGTGCCGCTCATTCAATGAATTTATTTATTATGGCAAACAAACCAATCCAAGAACGGCTATTAGCATCAATTTCAATATTTATGAGCGGCATTCATTAGAGCTTGTGCTACTTCATTCCACCGTACCATATAAAACACCATATTTTATTAGCCAACCTATATAAAAAAAAAA